CGAGCCCATAAATAATATAACAAAAATTATGTGTTTAATTTTAGTTTTAATTTAATTTATTTTCATTTCTAGTTTGTTTTCAATTTTAGTTTAATTTCAGTATTAATTTTGGTTTAATTAGGTTATTTTATATATTATTCTCTAAAATTGCATATTCATTTAGAAAACCCGCTTAATTTCCGTAATACCAAACTGTTCAGTATGTACTGGTGACTGATGACGGAGGGCGGGGACACCTAATATTTAACATAAGTAAATAGGTGTTGTCTCACACCCTCTCAAATCCACAGCAACAGCTCCCAGGGACAACAAAAGAGCTGCCGCGGTAGTTTATACATTTTAAGCACAAGATCTTATATAGCTATCGGTTTTTACATTGGCTATTGAATGATTTAAGTTTTGAAATAAAACAATGTAGGAAAATAGGTATTCGATGAGATAGAAAATTGTATCAAGTTTTCATACAGCTGTCTTTTGTGACTCCATTGAGCTCAGTATGTACTAGAAAAAATATCTGAGATGTATCATGTATGCACTTTTGCTCTTGTCTAGACGTGTCAAAATTATTTTTGTTGCAATAAACTCCAGAGGAGGTACTGTCTGTCTACGAGAAGAACAGGGTCGCTATAGCAACAGGGCTAGTATATTTCAAATAGGAACGAACCAAGAGTTGCTTTATTGTTACTTTGTTTTTGGCTACCGTTATCTGAGAGGTATTGGTATTGGTATATTTAATTAAGGCAAAGAACACTAGGGGTATCTGCCTAAGACGAGGGATGCCTTCGTGGAGAGCTTTCTAAGGGAAACTGGCTCGTATACGCGTTACACATGGGGAAACCACGAAAACGCCCATGCAGCCAGCTCGTTCGCAGAATTCGAACCTCGGACCGAACTACCAGTGTTCAGCGACTTTACCGCTCGGCCGCTGGTGGGCCGTTATCTGAGAGGAAAAGAGTTATCATTCGTCTTCAAGATACCCCTACGGAAAATGGGTCAAGCCTCGTTTCTATGGCAGCAGACAGCTGCAGAGTAACTGGCGAGAGCTTTTCTTATAATAGACAGACTATAATTACTACTAACCTCTGGTAGCCGTACCTGTCACCTATTCATCAGCAGCCGTCCTGTAACCGTACCGTCTATGGATCTAGAGTTTCAGTATATGAAGTAAGTACGAAATGTTTATGTCACCAATGACTATTGTGTACCAAAATATAAGCGTATATACGCTTTTGTCTATATGTAATTGTGTATGTCCTTGTTTATATGTAATTGTACCCATGTATCTACTAGTGTTATCACATATCTTGACACTGTATAGTTAATATACATCTATTACGCACTGAATAATCATGTACCTAATGTGTCTGTATATATGTATATGAATTTATGTTCTGTATATATGATAATGTAACTATGCATCTGCACATTTTATCCTGTAAAATGGCACCATATCGCAAAGAACTAACTAGAGCCCCACTCTAAAATTAATTGCACCAAAGACACTGTACTACACAGTACTAATCTAGGGTCTAACTTTTAATTCACTGTACTAATTACTTATTCCAGCATAACATTGCGCACCTAATATTTCAGTATGTACATGTCTTCTGTAATCTAATGATAATGCTTCAAAGGGTCATAGTGTACTCAACATATGAGTACACACGTTATGTATATATGCTACCGTATTTATGCTTTTGCATACACGTTGTAACATGGCAATGTATTATCCAGTGTCTAACATTAATTAGCTTTAACGCCACTGTATGAAGTACCAAATTTGTATGTATGTTTATATATTAGTATATTAGCACAATGAACACGTATGGTTATCTAGATAAAGGTGGACGTGGCACTATACCGATTAATCGTATTGGTAGAGGGGTGGTGCCCACGTCCTCCGTCGCATGTCGCATGTAACCGTACCGTCTTCACCCTCCGTCACCTGTTCTTTCCTTATTAACCATTTGTTGTGTTATTTTTCTGTTACTAAGGAGCTTTAATAGCGTTAGTTAAATTTTATTGTTTAATTTATTTTTATTTTGATGTCTTGCTTTATCAGTTTTTGCAAGTTTTGATTCTTTTCAATAGCTGGTCCTACATAGATACACACCTTGAATATTTTTATTATTGATTGATATACCTGTTATATCCAAGCTATGGAATTTTATATAACAGTTCAAAACAGTTTTACGTTTTGGAAAGCAGATCTACCTTGTAATATCCTAGCTAAATTAGAAGTTCTTGAGAACTAGAATATTGAAGAACTATGTAGTGACAATTCGCTGAGTTCTTTTAAGTTTAAAGAAGGGTTAAATTTACCCTTTATTCCAACTCAATAAGTTAACAGATGGCCCCTTCTCGGACTTACAATAAGCATTCACTTGGGATTTAACTCAAGATAGAAAACATAAATCTAATATAATGTTAACTTAAATGAGCCAGCCGAAGCTGCACAGAATTAACTAACAGAGTTGGCCCTTATTTCAGATCATCGGCTTATACTAACAGGCGCGTAGCAATACTGCCTAATGACATTAAGATTAGACTAGAAGCAACAACATGCCCGGAAGGCAGAACGCGCTCTTCTAGCGAAGTGACCCAGACTTCAGCTTAAATACTGGTTTCTACCTTATTTGCATAAAAAGTAATCCTGAAAACTCATTCCGGCAGCGAGACGTAGGTGGAAAATGAGAAAGTAAAGGAAAGGCTTGTTTGAAAATAAAAATAGCTATTAGAAAAATATAAAAAACCCTACAACCTGTGCCTGATTCTTTCGAAATAAATGAAGAATTTCCGAAAATTTAGCATCAGTGTGAGACAGAATTTTATCCGTTTAAAAAAGATTTCCTCTCTATTATATAATTAGCTGACTTCTTATATTGATTATACTTCTGTGATGATCTTGCTTATACATGATACTTTAGTGTGGTTATCAATAATATATCGCCTTCAATTGACGTACACTCTTGCAGCTGCACTTGCAGAGCAACAGTTCGATCCAGTAGAATATGGTCAAAACACCAGGGTACCTGGGTTCAGAGACCCTACCCTTTGTAGAACATTTTAAAAAATTACGAATGATGACAAATAATAACCTATCATTTTCAAAAACTGAGCTGGAGAAGACTGCGAAAGTTTAAGTTTACGAAAATTTAAAATTGTTATTAATCTTCGGGTCTCTGAGCCACGATAAAGCTTCTGTCAGATCATATGGTGGGGGTTTGATTGTTTTCTTCATTTTATCTTTGTTTTCGTGCTCTGAGGGTTGTTGCTTTCTGCACTGGAAGTCGAGGGAAGTTGCGGGAAATCTTCATGCCTAGAAATGAAAGCTTGAATCTGCGCTGCAGGTCTTCGCTCAAATCTCTTTTTATGCACAGAACATCCACGACAGACATGTTGTTCAGCACAAAAAATACAGGTCGGCTTTTCATCAGCTTTGAGAGGGCATAATTTACTGCGATGATGATCTCCGCATTTGCAGCATCGCTCAGGTTTCTTGCATAAGTATAAGGAGTGTCCGTACTCTTCGCATCTATAGCATTGAAGAATGCGTTTCTCTGGCTGATACTTCTCAATCTTTTATTAACGTTGAACATATTATTTAGATGGTGAATTGCATATCCAGATGAGTTTTTCTTAAGTTCTATAAGGGAAATAGGTAGCTTCTCAGAATTGTTCTTTTTACTGCGGGTGAACACAGGATCAGAGGATATTTTCTTCTTTTCACGTCTTCCTTAATTAGATTTTGAGGCGTAGTTTCAAGCAGATTTTTCAGGATTACTTTCAAAGGTTTTTCACTTACAAAATGAAACGTATGGAAGGGAATATTCTCAACTTGCAGTAGTCTGGTGGCTTGGCGATATTCTTTAGGTTTTAGGTGTCTTTACATTTACATACAGCGACTGCGTCTTCATATCAGCTTCAAATTCTTCAGTACAAACTGTGCATAACAACTCCCTCACTTCTATCCAGTTAATTTCTTTTTGATTGCAGAACAACATTAAATATACGTTATATCTCATGTTTCCCTCTTGATCCTTGTAAATATGTGCAAATGCTTTATTTTCACCATGGAAATTTCGACTTACATCTTTAATTACTTTGCATTTCTCTTCTGCTAAGAAATGTATTATAATTTTGTTATTTTGAGTCATTTTGAGAAAAGAAGAAAATAATCTCTTGGCTGTAATGCAGTATTTGCATACCATCAGGGACTTCCTGTTGACTGATATGTGCTAAATTTCGAAATATACTCTAATTGAAATGATTTATGTACATTCATGAAATACTTCATTAGGTCCTACACGATATGTAATGGAGCTATTTTCTGTTGAGTCATGAAATATTCAATAATAATGTTTTTTTTTATTCAGGTTGATAGTCTACTGTTTGAAGACTTTTTTTATCAAAATAATATTGGCCTTACAGCCAAGAAATAATTTTAATAATAGTGATTCTTCCCCTCATTCCATATTCCATGCTTAAATGTATATCATCCTGCGCTTTATTAAATTTTTAGTTAATAATGGTTCTTCAAATAAAAGTTAGGCTGTTCAAAGATAATCAGCTATATTTTGACAATGCTAACGATTGAATTTAAAGTTTGAAGAGCACAATAATATACTGTCTTAAACGTTTTTCTAATAATGCAATTTTTATACCAAAGCTTTAGAATATCATTCTGATGTTACCGAACCGACAAAGTACAATTTGTTCTTTCTCTTTTACTAGTGACTCGCGATCTCTGTTTATTTATTTTATTCTCTGCAAGATCATTGGATTTAAAATTCACAAAACTGTACATTAATATTTTTAATTCCAAGAATATTTAAATATAAACGCTTCTGTTCCTAATGAAATTGTATTTTCATGCAGTGCTTCATAGAAATAGTGTTAAAATATAGTGTTTTTAATTTGCTAAATCAATGAATAACTCTTAAAATATGTTTTTAATATTTTAATTTTTAAATCAAATTTTACTTTTATTTAATTTCTAGCTTTACATCAATGCAGAACAGATATGAGCAATGGGGGCAACTAATGGGAACACTAAATATCAAAGGAAAGGACGAAAAAGAACTCTACTTATGGTCAATTAGAACTCGTATCTTAGGTACTTACTGTGCATTAATAATGATTACGTTTCTTATATACTAATTAAATAAACATGTTACCACTATAATGCAGAAATTATTTAATGTGTAGATTATTTAGGTAGTCTGCAGATTAAATAGATCTATCCATTAACATTGTTTCATTTCTCACATTATCTAGTTAATATATGCATTACCTAATAAGAACTGCCTAAAGTGAAGTTTCTAAAAAAGTACAATGTTTTTATATGCTCAAATCAATACTATTCAACTCATTATAGGTACTACTGATTGGAAAACACGGTACATTTACATTCTATAAAGTTATGAGCAATTTTATATTGTAATCACCAGGTTGTAAATAAAATACAATGACAATTGACGGAACATAATAACATTTATTTGCTGAATAATTTGGTATTAGACTGTAAGCAAAAAATACTGAAAAATTTTAAAAAATAACATTGTTTAATTCTGGTTAAGTATCAGGTTGATAGAATAAATCAGTCAACAGAATAGTTGATAGAATAACTCAGTCAACAGAATAGTTGATAAAAAAATCAGTCAACAAAGCAGAATATAAGGAATTAATTAAACGTGTTTAAAAGCATTATTACAATTAATGAAATTAATCTGTAAAAAGTACGATAAAATTACGCTTACTTATAAGTGCAATATAATGATTGTTGACACTTTGAATGACATGGAAACTGCCTTTTGCGACAAGCATACCTGTGACATTTTAAGATTTGCTGCCACATTTCCTGAAACCCTCTATAGTATTACGAGAATGTTTGGTTATGCAAGAAGAGGGAGAGAAAGAATCATTGCATTTTAATGATTCGGAGTACCTTAATGCGCATATTATCAAGGTAAAGGGCAGAAAACTTATAGAAGGTCATTCGATTTCACGGAGAAAATTTCTATTTAAATTTTCTTCACATTTTGAGATAAGTATTTGGATACTGATAAGTCATTTTTAATATACGTCTGGTACTGACGATATATTTTCAATATATCGTCAGTATCAGACGATTATATTGAAAACGCCTTTATATATACTTTTCAATATAATATACGTCTGTTTTATTTTCAGTGGAATGCTGAATAAGACATTTATTTAAAAAATTGCTCCTAAAAACTGATAGATGGCTCGGAGGTTATGTAAATGCACTTTCCGATGAAAAATATTCGTATCAACAAATTGTAAAGCAACATAAAATTCGAGGTTATTTTATTTCGAGCAAAGGTATTTTGAATATATTAAATTTAAAAAGGAAAAGACGTATAATTGAAAGATAAATTGAAAAAATGACTGCAAAACCGCCTCTTACGACTGTTCGAACGCGGGTAAATATCAAGAAAGAAAATCCATCTACTCAAAGATTCGTAGCATAGAAATTGGAATGTCTTCTCGTGCTGTAAGTAAAATTATTCATAAAGATTTGAAGTTAAAAATTGTATTTAAACCTGCAGTTCATCTGCTTCTGTCGAAGCATACTGCGGAAAGGAAAACAGAATTTAGAATATTATATAGAAACATTTAGCTGATAATAAATAGAAATTTGTGGTAACACTTGATGAGGCATGAGTATGTTTAAGTATGCGCAATTTGCAAAAAATGAAAATAAAAATAAATTTTCTTTGCTCAACTGACAAAAATGGCAGTAGAGAATGTTTTCGTCAATATGCAGAAATTCCCAAATGGGATTTACGATAGTTGCAGAATTTTGTTACCAGAGTAAATTAAAACTCAGAAGGTTCATGGTAGCTACAGGACTTTGTTACAATGGAAAATTAAAGCACAAGAAAGTCTCAGATAAGGCTAAATTTACTGCGATATCAGCAGAATATTTTCGAATCAAATTTTAAAGAAGAAATTCCAGTTATATATGGAAAGGACACCAATAACGTTGAGCTTTTTATGGATAAAGTTTCTAGCAACACGTGTAAGTCAACTGATTCTTATTTAGCAAAGAAAGAATCAGAAACAGGAATTAAACGTATACCATTTAATGAAATACTTGTAAAAATCACCCTACATCTCTCGCTATGGACTTCTGCGCTTTCGGTTTATTAAAACGAGCGTTAGGAAATCGGCATCCAAGAACACTGAACGGATTCTTAAAACGGATTGGGTTATCCAGCAGGAGTGGAATAAAATTGACATGACGATGTTAAGAAAAAAGATCATACTTCATAGAAGATTCGAGATAGAGCTTTAGTCAAAAATCAAGGCCATCAAACAAAAGCAAATCGCCGCAAAATAATGCGCGCACTTTTATGCATAAAAATTATTATCAAAACAGTTTCCATAAAGTGCGACTGACCTTCTGTATTTTGAAGAGGATTTCACGCTTTAATGAAACAAATCAGGTAATTTGCAGAACATTTTCAGCTTTAATAAATACATACTCATACAAGAGAAAGTGGTTATAATTCAGCAGTATTTTCAGAATTAAAATCTTGTTTTTGATTAAATAAGTAGTTGCAAGTTCTGTCTTCCCTTATTATTCTAAAATAAATCTTCATGTTTCAAAAATTAAAAATATCATAATTACTTTTGCTATAAGCTGATTTAATAATTATTCTCATACAGTGTAACATGTGTACATTTAAACTAATAATAAACAATTTAAATTCTTATTGACATTATAGCTTTTTAAATAATTATAAATTACACTATTGCAAAATCGTTTATGAAATAAATTTTTTTCAGATATTCCTTTATGGCATAAAGATACCAGCGTCGCGAAATGTTACATTTATTTTAAGGTAATCTTCATTTATCTATTCTAAGAGGGAACCATTTCGCAAATTGACTTGCGTAATAAACCTTTCCACTTAAAAATAATTTGATTTAATCTGTTTTAGCAATTTATTGCTTTTTTAAAATAATGTGTATTTATAATTAAATACTTACCTTATTAATAATCATTAAATATCTTAATTCGAGTAAAATAAAAATATTATCTCTTTATTTTATATCGATATATTGCATCATCCCTAAAGTTCTGCGGTTTTTCAAATCGAAACGAGTTTTCTTTTCATTATTTTGCTGTTACGGATTGAGGAGTAGCATTTATCAAAATGGATGGTTAAATACGGTCCTTTCTGATCACAGTAATTGTAGCATGTTTTTTTTTTTTTTTTTTTTTTTTTTTTTTTTTTTTGTTTGTTTCAGTGCAATGCTATGAATACAGAACTCAAAAATCCGTATTCGGCTTATCACGCTCTTTTATTTTAAAAGATTTTCAGTGAAACTGCTCATAAAATTTGTACTATGTACGGAAAATGTGTTGTTTCTCATAACTCAGTTCAAAGATGGCTTGAGAACTTTAAAAGTGTAAATAATAGTGATGAATATAATGCTCGCTATGGAGAACCATTTTCTGTAAACAAGTACCTATAAAAAGAAGCTCTAGCTGAAAATTTAAGTTATATAATTCAGAATCTATTAGGCAGAATAATTATTCTAAGAAGTACTGTACATGATCATTTGAAAAAGAGAGGGTATGTAAGCTTTTACAGTGTGTGGATACCCCATACTTTAACTGAGCAGAATATGCTTGCTATAATATGCTATAATATTATCAGAATTAAAAATCTTGTTTTTAATTAAATAAGTAATAATAAGTTCTGTCTTATTATTCTCAAATAAATCTGATCTCTGATATCATCTTGTCATTTTAAAATTCTCCGATTGTCCTCACTTAATTAGGCACTGCCAAAGAACTTCTTCACGAATAAACCTGATGTTTTTTTTTTAAAGAAAGAATTTTCCAGCTGCCTGATAGACGCCAAGAAGTAACAGAATAAAAGTGCTTATATAATTCAATCAAATTTCTTCTGTGTTTGTTCTGCTTCATCCATCACAAAGAAAAGCCTTCAGAGTTGCCCAAACGATATAGTGGTTAGGATAGTAAGGTACCGAAGGGCACGGGTTCGAATCCCCGGAGAAGACATGGATGTTTGTATAGTGTCGGTGCGGCATGTCAGCACTCTAAATATGCGGCGAGCTGAAAGTCCTCTCGTGTGGATTGGTGGGAGTGGAGAGGGGTGGGAGACCCCCGGATCATCCCGGGGCGCACTCCCTCAAAATATGGGGTGGAAAATAGAAGTGCAACCTCTCTTCGGAGTAGGCTCTGGCAACCATTGTTCCATGTAATGTGGACACGACAACAATGACAACAAAAGCCCTCAGAACTTTTTGGATGACCCAACATTTTCGGCGTAATTTAGAAAATGTTTGACAAAGATATTTATGTTATTTTGTCACAACCTAAAAATATTTTGGAACAGAACTTAAGATAAAATAGCAGCACATTTTTCAACTATTGAAATTTTATAGTGTAGCTTAGTTCTCGGTTTATATGATATACAAATTTGAAAACTTTGTTAATTAAAAAAATTCTATTTTTAAATTTTAGGATGGTTTTCCACTAAAAATAGAAACTCTTTCTGTCGAAGATTTTATATCAAAGTAAGTAATTTACTTGGCAAAATTTTATTGTTAAGATTTCTAATATCAAGTTTATACGCAATCCGTGTTCGAAAATTTTAAAACGTAAGTAAGATAAGCAGATATACTTTTGTAAGAGAGTTCAGAATCGATTATTAAGCATTTTTTTAAACAATTTAAAATACCTACAATAAATGTTTTGAAAACTGATGTCCCACATAATTTTTGATTCCCGCTGTAGACCAGAATATGCAACCAAAGCATCAAAGTATCAGACATAATTTGGGGAACGGTGAATTTAAGTAAGTATCCAGTGGTTTTTTAAAAAATTAAATGTATAAGTTTCTTAATACTTTCTTAAATGTAAAAAGTGACCAGTGTCTGAATTTGTGAAATTTATCTATAGAACTGGATTTCTCGCTGGAAAACTCACAAGATTGATTCATTTCAGTTACTGTGAATTCTTGCAATCAGTTAGACGACGGACTCAGGTGGAAAACCATCTGTATGCCGAGTCTCTAGCGAATATCGCTGTATGGTATGAATGTGTCAAAGGGTGGCATCTAGTTTATGGCAGCAATTTCAAATTATCACTAGACCAGCCAGTCCGCGAAATGTTACATTTATTTTAAGGTAATCTTCATTTATCTATTCTAAGAGGGAACCATTTCGCAAATTGACTTGTCCCTTCAACAGCCATGATACTTGCGTAGTATCTAAACATTTTATCAAATCCACGAAGCCACAGAGAGATTGTTTGCGCCTTATGTAAATTTTGATTTTGTTCCCTGCAAGAGGGCGCCTGCGAGCGCCGAACTACCTGTATATCTATTATACGAACTTGTTCTTCACACAATCTAATAAACGCAATAACGAACGTTTGTGTCTACTTTCCATCCGCTAACATGGTCCGTCGAGCCGGAGCCAGCGCATTTCTTTGGATGATGTGTCAAGACAATTTTTAACGTTCTGGTATAGAAGGACATTTCGTGCAGGGAAAACGGATTTATATTTTGTTTGGATTGTGAAAACAGCGGCAGGAACATGGAGTCGATTTTAAAGCAAAAGCGAATCATTAACGGTAAGTTGACTCGTTTAATTTCACAAGTAAATAGTTTACAAAATCTAGAAAATTCTTTTTCTGCCATTGAAGTATACGAAAATGATGTTGGTGCATTAGGTGTTGAAGTGAACTGTTTAAACGATAACATTCTTGGTACTTGTTCTGACGCAGAGTTTAGTAAATATGAAATAGAAATGCATGAACTATTTTCCAAACTGGATGTATTAAAAATTACTTTAAAGAAAGAATCAAGAAAACTTAGAAATTCAGGCAAAGATATAATAAATGCTAATGCAAACGGCTTGAAACTTCCTCGCGTGGAATTGCCAGTGTTTACTTCTAATTATGTTGACTAGATATCATTTAGGGATTTATTTCTTGCCAGTGTTGGAAATAATAGTACATTAAGTGGCAGTCAAAAATTGCAATATCTTAAGCTTTCTGTGAAAGGTGAAGCTGCTGTTTTACTACAATCAGTTCAAATTTCAAACGCGAATTATGAAAAGGCATGGGAAGCGCTTACTGAACGTTATGAAAACGAAATAGAAATAATAAACGCAGCATTAAATAAATTAACTTCACAGCCTGTTCTAAAACATGAATCAGCTTCAGGTTTGCGGAGATTAATTGATACAACACAACAGTGTATTGATACATTAAAAATCCTTAAACAGCCGGTAGAGCATTGGGATACTATAATTATTTTTCTGTTAAAAGGAAAACTTGATCATGAAACACTAAAAGAGTGGACGATGGAGCATTCGAACAAGAAAATTTCTGCTTTCGCTGAATTCAAGCGTTTTATTTTAAACAGAGCGAATGCTATTGCCTCTTTGGCGAAGTGCCAAAGGGAGAAGGCAGTTTTGCCTTCTGAAATTAAACTCGCGGTTCAGGTAGCACATACGATTTTTCGTCCCAACTTGTAGCTAATGTGTGCGTTGTAAGAGTAATTCTCATTCTCAGTTATTTAAATGTGATAGCTTTTTAGAACTCCCTATCAAAGAAAAGAGATATTATTAAAAGGAATAAGTTATGTGCTAATTGTTTGAAAGATAGTAAAACGCATCCCATTTTTAAATGTCGTGCAGGCAGGTGTAAATATTGTTCCAAGCCACATAATACAGTGTTATGTTCGAAAAATTCAAATGATGAAAAATGTCATATACCCATGGAACACGGAACTTCTGCTATTAGTAGCAATAACGCCACGGTGGCCTGTTACGCAAGCAGTTTTATTGCCTACTGCGATTGTTTATGTTAAAGATATTAATGGCGATTTACAAAAATGCAGGATGCAAATTGATTCAGGTAGCCAGGGCTCATTTATTCGGGAGCACTGTGTAAATTTACTGCAGTTAAAGCGCACTAGTGCAAACATAAGTGTAAATGGCCTGAGTTCGCAAAAAATTGGAAAGGTTTCAGGTTCAGTTCAATTACAAGTAACATCTCCATTTTATAAAAACGCAAGCATTTCAGTTAATGCATTAATTATACCCAAGATCGCGTGTGACCTTCCTCAATATCAAGTTGATAGATCTGTTTTGACATCTTTCAAACATTTGTGGTTGGCAGATACAAATTGTTTCCAGCCTGCCCCAATAGATATTCTTTTAGGCGCAGATGTATTTGGCGAGATAATGCTTCATGGACGTTTAACTGTTCCGGGTCATTCGTTAACAGCCTTGGAATCAATATTCGGCTGGGTCATTATCGAAAAGACTAAAAGTGTATCACAGACAATTGTAACTAATCATGCTAGTTGTACCAATGTTCAGCTCCAGCTTGAAAAATTTTGGAAATTGGAAGAAATTTCGGAGATAAAGCATTACACAGAAGAGGAGATTGAGTGTGAAAATCATTTCAAGCGGAATTTTTCTCGTGATTCAACAGGTAGATTTGTTGTTAAGTTTCCATTTCGTAGATCGGGAAATGAACTTGGGTCATCAAGGGATGTTGCTGTACATCGTTTACAAAGCACTGAACGTCAATTTATTAAGAATAAATCTCTTTCCAGTCAATATCACAAATTTATGGAGGACTATCAACAACTTGGTCATATGGAATTGATTCCAGAAAATGAAATTGATGTTCCAGCTAATTCTAGTTTTTTTACCTTCCGCACCATTCAGTTCCGGATAAAAATGGTGATAAATTTCGAGTCGTATTTGATGGTTCTTCAAAATCTTCTAGCGGTATTTCTCTTAATGAGAAATTGATGGTTGGTCCACAGTTGCAGACTGATCTGACAACATTAATTATTCGTTTCAGAATTCACAGAATAGCTATAACTGCAGATATAGAGAAAATGTACAGAAAATTATACTAAAACATGCAGACTTTTAGAGAATAGTCTGGCGCGATTCACTTTATAAACCAATTCAGGATTTTCGATTAACTAGGATTGCTTACGGTACTGCATCAGCTCCGTACCTTGCGGTAAGATGTTTACAGCAGTTAGCCATAGATGAAGCAACTAATTTTCCTTTGGCTTCCAAGACATGTCTTAGGGACTTCTACGTTGATGATTTGATGTCCGGAGCCAGTTCAGTTACTGAAGCTATAAAATTACAAATGCAATTGGATCAGATGCTGTCACGTGCAGGATTTATTCTAAGAAAATGGGCTTCTAACAGAAAAGAAGTCTTGAATTCAATTAATCCAGATTTGTGCTTATCAAATATTTCTTTGAACATAGACAATGATGATACTGTAAAAACGTTAGGTATCCTGTGGCATCCAGCTTCAGATATGTTTTTATTCAAAGTCAATTAATCATATCCTGAAGTCTTAACCAAACGAACATTACTTTCAATAATCGCAAAGACCTTTGACCCTCTTGGATGGTTGGCACCGATCACGGTTCGGTATAAATTGATTATGCAAAGATTGCGGAAACATCAGTTGCAGTGGGATGAAAAGGTTCCTCCAGATATTGAATGTGAGTGGAAACTTACAGAAGATATGTTATCCATTAAAAGTATCAAAATTTCACGATTTTTGTTGGTTGAATCAGATAACCAGTTTCAACTGCACGGGTTTTGTGACGCCTCAGAGAAGGCCTACGCCGCTGCAATTTATTATCGTTCTGTGTTAGATACTGGACAAATTAATGTTCAGCTAGTGATAGCCAAAACAAGAGTTGCACCACTAAAAACCATATCACTTCCCCGATTGGAACTTTGTGGAGCATTACTGTTGACTAAATTAATGGATTTCACCTGTAGGGCTTTAAATACTCCTATATCGCAAGTTTATTTTCACACTGATTCCACGATTGTATTAGCCTGGATAAGATCTCATGCAAGCCGATGGAAGACCTTCATCGCCAACAGAGTAGCAAAAATCCAGACTTTATCCTCTCCTGTCCAGTGGCATCATGTAAGTGGAAATGCTAATCCTGCTGATCTTGCAACGCGTGGTGTGTCATCATCTGCACTGGTTACTTCATTGTGGTTACGTGGTCCAGATTTATTGTATAATTTATTTCCTTTTCAGCAAGCATTGTCTGCACCACTATTGAATGATTCTGTGCCAGAGCAAAGAGCAAAGATGTGCTTTACAGTCAACAACTGCTGCCAGTCACTTGACAGACGCTCATGATTTATTTTACAAATATTCTTCTCTCACTAAACTTAAACGTGTTGTAGCATTATGTCTGAGGTTTGTAAATAACTGTAAAAATTCAGAAGATCAGGTAAGTGGATTTTTAAAAACAAGTGAATTAACTAAAGCTATGCATGTGTTAATTAAATTAATGCAATGTGTTGAATTTAAGAATGAAATTAACACTTTAGGCAGAAATCAATCATTATCTTGTACAAGCAAAATTTTATCTTTAAATCCATTTTTAGATAATTTAGGTATTCTCAGGGTGGGCGGTCGCTTGCGACATGCAAACCTTGCATATGGTTTTAGGCATCCAATTTTGCTTCCAAAGAAGCCCATTTTAACTCATCTC